AAGTACACGACAAAGACCGCCTTCCGCAGCGGCTCACCCGCCTGGGCGCTGTAAAAAGGGGCCTCGATGTCCGCCGTGCGCAGGACTGAGTTCCCGCGGGTCACCCAGTGGATCATCCGCTCGAGCGTCCCCAGGCGGTCCGTGGGGACGACCCCTGTCAGCACCTTCAGACCATCCCCGCTCACCCCGCTGAACTCGTGGTGGATAATCTCGAGGTGCTCGCGGGTGTAGTTGTACTCCACGTGGAGGGCCTGGTACTGCTTCTTGAACTCGACGACCTCGTGGTAGACCTCCTCGACCTTCTGCTCGAGGGAGAACATCGTCTCGCCCGGGGCGCGGTCCTGGGGGACGCCCACCACGCCGGACTTGCGGATCTCCTCCCGAAGAAAGAGTATCTTGCGCTCCATATCATCGCAGTGGCGCACCTCCTGCACGAAGTCCCGCTGGAAGGGGCTCACCCCTTCGTTGAGGTCGTGGAATTGGAACATGCCGATCTCGCCGAGCTTGAGGATCGCGTCGTGGGCCACCTCGCGCTGCATTTGGAGGGAAAGCACCACCATATCCTCCGAACGCCACAGCCCACTGCAGGCCTCCACCTGCATTGAAAATGAAATGAGCCGAGAAAGTGGACGCTAAGCAACGTGTGGATACCTAAATAAGAAAGGGCGGGGTAAAAAAAAGTGAATTCAACTAGTAAATTAAAAAAAAATAAGAAAAAAAACTAGGGGTGATGCAAAAAGAGCCGAATCGATAAGGAATAGACAATAAAGCATAAATAGATTCATTTTGGGATATATACGTCTGATAAACACCACAAAATAAAAAATGATACGGGAAGGGTAAAAAAAAAAAGTAATGCACCGAATGTATTACTTCTTCTCCACACACGTGTACGCCTGTCAGGCTTGTCCAGACGCTTGAAGAGAGAACATTAAAAGTTACGTCTAGTTAATACAGTTTTAAAATAGATGAAAGCAGATAAAGTATATAATAAGAATAAATGGTAATTTAAAATATATTAGAATACTTAAGCAGCATATGTATATATATATTAACGCAATAAAAGTACATCTTGCCCTGTGTTACAGTGATATTCTGGGAATATCACTGTAACACTTTGGATCCGTTTTAAACTGCGAAACCTCATGACAGATATTTCTATTAGCGAGTTCTTCAATGGAAAAAGTGTGATCTCTACTCCGTCTCTTTAGATTCTTTAGAATATTCCTCTATACCTTCATCAGAGTCGTGTTATAGTTTGGTAAAGGTGGTGGAATGGGCACCAATTCCTGCCTTATTTCCTACGGTATGATTTTCCACAGAAGAAGTCTACCACAGTCCAAGAAGTAGACAAAAGAAAAGCAGAATTTCTGTAGCGCCAGCTGAAAAGGTGGATCGAACTTCGTATCAAAACACAAAAACACCAATACATCTTTTTTATAACCCCAGAAAACGACTTTCAGAGGCTGAGGCATCGGACCATGGCTGATGCATGCGATCCAGTACGAGGAAAGCGTGAAGTTCACCGCGGCAAAGAGCACTCATGTGTCGCCGTGGGTATAAATCTCGTTCATACTTCGATACTTTGTAATCGCCTCCAGCTGAAGTACGACGTGTTCATTCTCATTAGCAAGATGCATTTCCTCAAAGGAGGAATCAAACGAGACGTAAGCCCTGTAAGACATGGCCCAGCTCCTTCCCTCGAAAGGTGATGACGCTTTCCATGGTGATGCACCGGGGCAAAGCACTCAAGTACGTTCGCTACGCCTCACACCAGATTGAAAAAAGGATCCTACCTTCAATAAAACACAAAACTGCGACACCCTCAACAGTGGCTTTTCCAAAATATTTGGAAAAAGTATCCTGAGGACGTGTGGATCGAATGAGCACCAATGGATATCCTTTTTTTCTCAACCGGTAGGAGCGGGTGCAGTTCGGACCGGTCTGAACACCGATTCAATGAAAGCAATACGATGCGTCTATCACATATTTACAAAATAAAGGAAAGCAGTCAAAATAGAGGATGAAAGTCGTGGCGAAGAGAATTATCAAATGACATATTTCTTTAAAGCATATGAGGTTGCAGAGGTATTAGAGGATGGAAACGAGAAATAAGCCAATATGGTGGCAAGCGTTATTCATACAGTCCGTCCTGTACGCCCTTGTCTCGAGGCGTTTCAATTTATTTAGGATGTATTGCAACCTGTTATTGTCATGAATAATAGGATCGTGATTGCACATCTAAAGTAGGTCGCATGAAACCGAGACCGGTGTACCGGCTATGCGAGACATCGTGAGCATCTCGCTGGATTGCCTTGTGATGGTTTGGCATCACGAGAGGAAAAGCTCCTCCTCTAAGATGCGCATATCCACAAATATAATTAATTTCTGCACCATTAGCCCATCTCACACTACAGACAAATTTATGGGTCACCTTTTCCTGGGTTTTAATAACCCTTTTGATGAATGAAACAAGTCGAGAAACGCGGAGCATCTCCTAAGGAATTCTTACATATAATGAAAAAGTAGTGAAGGAAACAAAAAAAATTTAAGCAGAGGCCAAAGGGTAACTAAACAAGTCCTATTGCCACCATTTTAGATGCACAAACAGATTATATCAACCATGTATTGTTTACATATTTTTTTTTACCAGTAATGCGCTAAATATCGACTTTTTAAAAGGAATGAAAATTAACAATTAGTTATACCCCTATTATTCATAAGTAAAATGTCAGGGCTATGCCCGAATTGGGAGCCGAAAACCGTGTAAGGATCGTCTGAGAGAACTCACCGCGGGGCCTAGTCAGTCTGTGGTGGGTTTTTGGTGACTCGTTGACCGAAAATCACCGATCCGACGCGCACGATGGTGGCGCCCATCTCGATCGCGCGCTGGTAGTCCCCGCTCATTCCCATTGAGAGCTCGAGGGTCTCGGGCCCCACCCCGCGATCCCGTGCGACCGCCTCGCGGCAGTCCGCCAGGCAGGTGAAGTTCGCCGGCCGGCTCGTGTAGTCCCGCATGCCGATCGTCATGAAGCCGCGCAGGCGGAGGTGAGGGCAGCGCGCGGCGATATGCGCG